GGCTCAGTTCAGAAGCCGCGAGATGCGCAAAACATTCTAAAAAAGATGACGTGTCATGTTGAGACTTTGACTTGTAGATATGATGAGGCCTAAAGACAAGTTTTGAAGGACAGCCTCTAATGATGTACATGGAGAGAGGTGGAAAGGGTGTGTCGACTACAACCAGAAAGCCAGGTCAGACTGATGTAGTGATACTGGGATATAAATACTTTTTATGGTGCATTTTTAGTCTAGAGATTTAGCCACAGTAATGAAAACACTAATCTAATCCAAAGCACTGTATGGCAGCTCGATCTCTGATTCAAGAATAGGTAACTGGTCCTCTGGTCTTTGTCTTCTCTCTTGAGAGGTTTTTTTTTTTCTGATTTGATCTTCCTGCTCTTTTTCTTCTTCTTATACTTCCTGTTTTAATTTGAAAGGTAGTTCTTTGCGTAGCTTCCCATTACCTCCATTTCTTTGTTTTGTTCCTGCCCTCCATAGTGCCTGATTGAGTTCACCTTTGCCTTCTTACCCTTCTCTATGTCGTGTGAATTTAGTGTGTCTCCTTCCAGTGCCTTATGGCTCCCATATGTTCTCAGTTTTTCCCCGGAGTTTAATTTCTATCCATTCCTCCTGCACTATGGACTTTTGTTCATCAGAAATATAAGTTTGTACACAAATAAGGAATTTGCCTTGATGTCATAGTGTAAAAGAAAGGGAGCACAGAAACAGAATATATGTTACTTACAGTATATATAATATATAGATCTCTATAGAAACAGTAATATAAATACGCATTTATTTGGTGTTTTTGTTCTCTCTTGATTATGACCTCGAAGCACGGCACTGTATAAATTACAACACGTAATAGTGTTTGGATCCAAATTTAGTTGCTTCACTTTCAGGGCCATGATAACGGCTCACTTTGACTCCAAATAAAACAGAGCTATCCTCAAAGTCGTGACTCCTTCTCCTATTACACGCCAAAATATCTACTGTGAGAAACTCCTATTGGACAGGACTAAACTTTCAAAGTAAAATGACATTTAAGGATTCTTTTTCCACCTCATGTTCACGATATCTCTTGTCACGCCTCACTGGATAATCAAAATAATGCACAAAGGTCAAGGTGAAAAAAAAATATATGACTGTTTTTCTTTTCTTTTTTTATTTGTTCTTCTGGTAGTACTCCAAGTGTGTGTGTGTGTGTGTGTGTGTGTGTGTGTACCTGCTGTTGAAAACCATGACAGCAAATCAGAGTGCAGTTGCTCCGTGCTTTCATTAGGTTCGAACTATTATTTATCATTTATATCTGAATGTAAGGTGTGGTCTAGGTATGCACACTGGGATCAAATACACTGATTGGCTAATAGGTTCTGATTTACCTTTTAGCCAGTGGAATGAAATGCCAGTTTTATACCGAACCATTACGGTAAAGCTATTATAATTTCTTTTTCCTTTTTAAATTTGAACTCTTCATTCTAATGCTCAGAACTTTTATTCTGAAAATAACCTAAAGAAAAGACTAACATTCATAAAAGCAAATGTGGTGTAAGGTGTTGACGCCTCAAGATATAATCTCATGGTTTCAATACAGACATGCAATAGGAGGTGTTGAGTCACATCTTTCTCGTGTGTGTGTGTGTGTGTGTGTGTGTGTGTGTGTCACCACCCACTGCAACTTTAACCACATCCCACCTCTTGCACAGATGTGGCCATCGTGCAATTTCCACTTTGTACATAGTTGCTGCACTTGTGGCCCGGCACAAGAGGATTTAGCTGAAAGGCTGTTAGTGCAAGACTTAATCTACTAGCTCCACTCCTAACTTTGCATACAAGCAGTTTATTAGGAAGAACAGACTGGCAAAGTTAGTAGTCTGATCTGTGTTTCCACACTGTGTAGCCACTACAGAGAGAGGTTCACCTAAGATGCTTATCTAGAATGGTCTAATGAGTCTCTAGTTACCAAGCTCCAGTCCCCAGTCAACAGTGCGATGAACCTTTGGGGAAGCAGAGCCAGAAGGGCAACAATTAGAGAAGTGCATGCAACAGAAGCACCCAAAAGCAAACACAAAGACAAAGCCCTGTTTCCGCCCTGTGAATTATTGCGTGTGTTAAATTTGAGGTCAATGCATGCACCGTTAACTGGGTACAGGGCTAAAGACGGGCAAGAATAGAATATAACAAGGTTACTGAGCACAAAGAGTCAGAGTGCATCTTGTTTACATTCCTGAATGCATACATTAGCCACACGCAGAGGACACAGCAAACTCTAAAGCCCATAACAAGGTTGTTCCTTGAACCTTAATCAACCTCAAATACTTGAACAAAAGAAGGGAAAGAGGTTGCGTCAAGGTGCGGTCATCCAGGTGGCACACCAGAATATGCCAGGATGTCCTTGTGGTGCACAGATGGGTGACGCATCACACGAAAAACAACATAATGACATATTTGGACCTTGACTCCTAACGTTTCTGCTGCTCTGCTGGAGGGATAGAAAAAAAACTAAAACTTATCCAAAAATACAACAACAAAACCCAACTTGCATATCACAGCAAAATCTCCTGTGGGTGGACACCTGGTGACTGTGAAGTCCACAACAACTTTCATTATCATCAAATCCCTAAATGACTCCTTTGCCAGTCTGACAGAGGCAGACACTGTCATCCTGGAAGAGGCCATCTTCATCATGATATGTGTTTTTTCTTTACAGGATATTGTTAACAGCATCTTAAAGTCCTCTGATCAGGGCTGTATCTCAATTCATTCAAGCTAGCAACATGCTAGCATGGTTATTGAGCTATTTTGTGCCCTGCCACTGTAAAAAAGGTGCATCTGTACCATCTTCTCTTCTCATACTTGTTTCTTAATCATCTGCAAACCCGCTCCAAAAAACCACCTAAGAGTCCACAACACACTGGACAATGCAAAGTGCAGTTTCAGCAACAGAGTCCTTCCACCTCGCTGTCTAAAGGAACAACACAGGACGTTGTTTCTTCAAGCTGTTAGCAGACTCGTCTACCTCAGACCTTAACATATTGAACTGGACTGAACACACCTCACTGCACTCTGTCACTGTTTGTACACCAAAAGGTAAATTTGCCCACCTGTGCACCCATTACACCTGTAATGTAATTTTATATTTATATCTCTATACTAATCTATTTTTAGCCCTATTCCTACACTTGATTTTATACGATGGCTTTGTTGTCTGTTGTATGTATGCTGCTATGGCACCTCAGTTTCCCTCTGGGATTAATAACGTTTCTCTGATTCTCATTTGCTACGACATCATCTCATCTTCAAAGGTAGTGTCAGTCATAAATACACAAGTATAATCAAAGTGTGGTTCATTTGCAGTTGTTGAAGCTGCTTTTGCATTAACACAAGTAGGACAATGAAATTAGTAAAGGTCCCAACAAATCAACAAAGTGTTGCAGTTTGGTTGCTAAGTCCTTAAATAGTAACCAACTGAGGATTTCCTGAGAAAAAATGCATTTGAATACCTCACATCAGTCCCATAAAGTCTTCTGTTTTTAGCCCGTTTACAATTTCATGAAAACTTAAGATTAATTATTTTGCCGACAGGGGGGGGCGCTAGTTTTCTTGGCGGCAACATTTTGCATCCCATTAGCCTTGAGTAAGGATGCCAGAACCCTGGAATCTAAACTGAGGAAAATCTCCAACTTTTTATTTCATTATGGACATAAATGGTCAAAATAGCAGGATCACTGAATCATTGCTGAGGCCAAATGGGACAGTGTTTTGCTGATAGACCTCGTCCATTACCTGCCTGTCATGTATGGAGACTTCATGCACCATCTTGCTTGTGGAAGGACTACCATCAAAGCTGCAGACCACTGATCTCTTTGATGGTAGCCCTTGAGTCAAACATGGTTGCAAACATTACTGAGCAGAATAGTCACTTCCCATGGCAACAAAAAAAAACAGAGAGACAGAGGGTGGGAGACAAGAGGAAAATGCCCATTTAAAGCCATTTAAGCTTTTCAATATTCATGACTGGGGAGAATGTAGAGGTTCCCATAAAGTCTGGGACATTAAACCTTAAAAAAGAAAGAAAGAAAGAAAGAAAGAAAGAAAGAAAGAAAGAAAGAAAGAAAGAAAGAAGAGTTGGGTGTGAGTGGATGAGGTCCCGATGCGTGGCGCCAGGCTGTCTGCCCGGCGGTGCGACTCAATAGGCGGCTGTAAAGGAGGGAGCGGAGCGGCGACGCGGCCCGGAGAGCGGAGGAATGTTGGAGGCACAATAACGCACAGCTGGGGCAGGGAATGGCAAGGAGGCGCCGCCAAATTGGCCTGTCCAGCCTCCCCTAGAGCTGCAACCATGCAGGAAAAGCTGAGAGAAAAGTCTTTTTGTTTGTTATATGAAGTCATAACAATTCATTCAGTCGACGATTATGTTGAACTAGAATTATTTCCTTTTCTCTCCTTACTTTCTCGAAATAAATCTGATTAAAAACATATGTGTAACAAAATTCGAATAGAATGTTGTATTAACAGCACCTCATTTGATAAAAGATCTCACTAGGACCAGAAAACTTACTGCTGATTGTAACAGAAGCTTTTGTTTCGAATTATATTTTTTTTATTTTTGTTTGGGAGGGGGGTCGTTTATTTGTTTTTTTGTTTGTTTGTTTTTTATGTGCAGATAGATTGGCTCGGGATCATCCGTCACCGGAGAGATCAATACCAGCGAGGCTGTGCGTAATTACGCATCAATGACTACAACACTAAAGATGCAATCCAGCGCTAATCAGCCTGGTGAATTGTGCATATATACCATCACCTCTGTCAGGATCGATCCCATATTTGCTCCCTTACGACAGACCCCTTGTACCGCTGGTCGAAAAGACAAATTGAGACTTTTGCCTTTGGACGGCGGCAGTATACCGTCGCTGTAATTCATTGCTTTCGATCGCCACTCTCTTTCTCTCTCTCAGTCAGTCACGCGTGCACACACACACACTCCTCCTACCGATAGACAGCCCACCGCAGCGCACAGAGAATGAGACACGCCTTTTTCTCGGCTCCGTTGTCGGGTCGGTGGGCAGCGGACTGCTGGTGATTGACCAGCTTCTCTCCCTGATCTGTCAGCCGGCTGGATTGGCGCCTCCCCTCTCCTCTATAAATGTAGGAAATCTATTCATTCCTTTCACATCGAGCCTGCTGAAGTAAGAGGAACTACGAAGCTCAACGGGATGTGTTGACAGGCTACAATTCCGCCTTTTCGTTATCTTATTCTCTCTCTAATTTGCGGCCGTATTAGTTTTTTTCTGTGTTAACAGCGACGTGCTATAATCTTAAAATACCTCTCGCCACCAGTAGTGTAATTGCTCGATTTGTCGTTGCTTCTCTCTGAGCCGTTGGTTATCTAAGATGAAGGCTGTTACTCCAGTCCGCCCCCAGGACTCCTCCTCCAGCGGCAGCCAGCTCTCCCTGCACTATCTGTCGAAGCAGAGCCTCAACATCGCCCGGTGCAGGATGGAAGAAGAGGACCTGTTCTGCCTGCAGTACGACATGAACGACTGCTACAGCCGGCTGAAGCGCCTGGTGCCCACCATTCCGCAGGATAAGAAAGTCAGCAAAGTGGAGATCCTCCAGCATGTCATAGACTACATTCTGGACCTGCAGCTGGCCCTGGAGACGCACCCTTCTCTCCATAAACAACAGCCTCAGTTGACCGGGACCTGCCCTCCTCGAGCCTCGAACCCCAGCAGGACACCACTGACGGTGCTCAACATTGATCAGCACCAGGTAAGCTGGAGTCAGGAGGAGCCTCTCGGTTCGCCCCGTTTTCACCGGGACTGACCGGGGAGGAGGAGGTGGGGCGGGGGGGGACCCCAGTTTACCTCCCGGTGCCAGACTGCCGTTCGCCACTCAGACTCAGACAAAGCACGTCATACTCGTTATGTGTCATTGTCCTTCCAGTGTTAGTGAAAAAGGACAGAAAAAAAAATCAGAATGTCATACAGCACTTATCAGAGGCTTGAAAAATCATGCGTAAAAATCGCATTTGACGTGGGTTAGATTGCGCACTTGATTGCGGGCCGTATGATTTGCATGATAATGGCAGTGTGTGTCAGAGGCCCACCTTATTCCAGGATTGGTGAAGTACCTCAGCCCGCAGCCCACTCCACTGCGCACAATAAGGGCAATTTGTTATTCAATAGGCTATAAGAGAATTTATTATGGGAGATAATTTTCTGCCGCTCTGCTGTATGCCATTTATTATTATTATTTTCAGGGCTTAGGGCCTTGCCTTTATTTAGTTTTGTCATCCACAAGAGCGACATCGTTTCACGTGTTGTTTCTCTTCTTTATCTTTCTGTAGAGGACGTCTATAGTCAAAAAGCCGGAGGACTCGATTTTATGTCGCTGAGACTTGAGCACTGCATTGGTAAGTGGGTGTAAAATATTATTGCTATATTATTTTCAATATTTGTGAACATTATTAATTTTTTATGCATTTATTTTTTATAAACATAAAAAATGCAACCGTATTTGGTGGTTAGTGAGACATCCTTAGTAATTTGAATACTGTAGCCTATATGTGGTGTAGATTGACAATCTCTAGAGTGCTCTGGGGAGGCCAGTAGATGTCAAGGAAAATAATAATTGAGGAACATGAAATTGGCACCAGCCTCAGATGCAGCTGTGCTTTGCGCAATAACTGTCACTGGTGTAGCAATCTCAGAAGAAGAGAGGGTTAAAACCTCAGCTTGCCCTCTCTTTCATTCTTACACACATGCACAAACACACACTTTCTTTCCTCCCCCCTCTCTCTGGCTCAGTGTCATATACACTCTGCTCAGTTCCTGGCGTTTAAACCAGATTTACAGCACTGAATTCAAACACACCTGGACAGGACTAAGAGAATGTAGGTGGTGTGTGTTACAGCGAGACACTCCACAGCCTTCTAGAGAGTCCCGGCTGGTCCTCACCAGCCTTGCCGAACAGCCCAAGGGGCTGTGTGGTTGTTGTTTGACCTGGTTTGTTTTGGGTTGTTGATCAAGCATGGCCTCTGTTTTGTCGGTGGCGCCAGTCAGTCTGGAGCTTTGCAGCTCACCCCCCCTCGCCTCTATTCATCCCCTCCACAGGTGTGCAGGCTGCACAGAGCCGCTCCAAAGCCAGCAAAGCTTCGCCAGGGACTCACACCCAACTGGAGGCACAATCACAAGGGGATTTCAAAACCGCTGGGAGGAATTAAACCCAAATAAAATCACTATTCATATCAGTTTTTTTTTTTTGTTCCATTGAACAAGGACTCAGTGTGTAGACATCTCCCCATCCTTCCTCCTGCTTAAGTTGCTCTCACTTCTTGTCACTTTTTTTTTCCCCAAAAAGAGTGAAAATATGGGATCCCCATGCTGACAAGTTTTTTGTTGTTGTTGTTGTTGTTGTTGTTGGAAACCCATCTATCAACAGCTATGAAAACTGTTTGTGAATTGTGCTTAAAGAGTAACTAAAAATGACTCCAGTTTAAAGCTTTACTAAACTGCGAAAAATCCTTGTAAATGTTTTTTTTTTTGGACATCTATTGTTTAAAATAGATGATTTGTGTTGAACAGGGATTGCCATCCCTGGTTTCTTAAAATGTTTGATATTGTAAAGAAGAACAATTCCGATTCGAGACAAATACGATTGTAAATATAGAGACGCAAATGTTCTATAAAAGTATGTGAAAGGAAGACTTATATGCTTAAAATAGACTATTGTAATTATAAGATATTTTTATTAAAACCTTTTTTTTTTCTGTCATTATGTAAATATTGTGTTTACACTTTAGTGAATGAACGTGGTTTTGCTCTGCCAATAATGTCCTCACATGATGATATCAGTTAACTCTTTGCAGTGTTCTTTGGACTAGTTTAATATGTAGCATGTCAGGCTCATTGCAGAGATATTGAATGTGCACTGAAGCAGCCCTGCCTGTGTAGATATGTGGTGGAGTTCAAAAACGAGTTCTTTGATTATTTGACCTGCTCAGCTTTCTCTTGAATCTTTTTTTTTTTTTTGTACTCATTTACTTTGACAGCTTTGACCCACTCAGAGAGATGGGTGGGCCTGCTGTTTGATCTATAAAAGAAAGAAAGAAAGAAAAGAAAAAGAGAGGGGGGGCTTAATTTGATTCTGTTACATTGCACTCTTGTTAAAAAGTGATCATAATAACTACGGCACTTCTTACAGTGTTTACGATGTAAAAAAAAAAATCACTGCAACACACTCTCAGATTTGTGCAATCAGAGCTTCTCCTTGAGAAGTTAATGATTGACGCCAAGAAATCATTAAACTTTGGTTATAAATTGGTTCCAAATGTGAACATTAACAGACTCTTTTTTTTTTTGTTGCTGTTGTTGTTCTTTGGAACGGAGACGTCTGTACGCGGATGTGAAAAGTCTGGAGAGTCATCCAGTCATTATTAATATAAAAGTGGAGTAAAGAAAACAAGAATCTTTATTTTTCATGACATTGAACACCGAATTTACCTCACCACCCTCCTGCCAGTGTGAGAGGGCACTTGTACATTACTGTCAGCTGCACTGTCGGACTTGACCTTCACTGGCTTATGAGGAGTTGTCAAAACAATTAAAAGTTTCCAGGAAGAATTGTGTCGTCTCGAGTGTTGTCTCAGGGGGCGCATTGCGGTTTATTTCACTGGCACCTGAAGTGCTGAGAAGGAGAGTGGTGCAGTGTAATTTATTCATTTAGTTCCCTGGAAAATAAAGGGAGGGTAAAGTTAGTATGTTGCAGACTTCTCATACTGTTAGTCCTTAAACCTGCTTTACAGGATTTAGGGTTTAAGCCTTTTGTTTTCTGAGCCTTTATTAATTCAGCCGCACACACACGGCTGCAACAACAGCAGGATCGCTCAAACACAAGTGACAGCCGAGAAGTCGGATATATGTCACTCCTTCGTGCAGAAATAATACTATCTCTTTAGTGAGATATCAAAACACATTATTGCAGTTGGCAATTCGTGATGTAACATGTTCCCGTTAAAGAGGCTCAGTAAAAGAAAAACGGAGAAGAAATGTTGCAGAGCAGGAAGTACGATCACCATGTGAATTTCAGCAGAAAGCACGGTGCAACAGAAGGTGAATGAAGAATGAAGGCCAGTAATTTACAGCATCTACAGCTCAGACTTCCACACATGATGCCAACGATGTTCAGCAAATAATATTTCTCAGCTTCCCTTACAGTGTAGATGGATTTAAAACAAAATCGGAAAGAGAGCGTAAAGTTACTGGAAAGAAAGTCAGTAAAGAAAAATGGTGTTATTGCTTTAATGAGAAACAAATGAAGAAAAGAAATGCCTGGTGAGATGCTGATTATTATGGGATTCAGTATAGATGAAAATTATACTCACACTCTTGGCTGAAAGAAACTCAAGGCCTCATTGGGTTTACGGGAGCATTTACCAGATACATCTCCATATTTGAACGGTTACATTTTTTCTAAAATTAGTAAAATCACATACTGTAGTTAGTGATTTATGAGCTCGCTCAAAAAAAAAAGCTCTTATTTTGATTCACTGGGTATCTTTTTCCACACGTATCTCACTCACAGCTTTTGGCTCCACTGGAGTATCTTTCCTTTCCGCCTTCTTTTGTGCAGAGCCTTAGGTTTTTCTTGCAGACACACGGGCCCTTGTTTGGTTGTCCCCACGTTAACCTGCCAAACGCAGGTTAAAGCGGCCGTTTGACACCAACAACCTCAGCGACAGAGGTGGCCCTAAGGGCCCTGCAGCACACCTTGCAGACATCCTACTCCAGCATGGCCACACAGGCCACCTGTGTGTGTTTATAGTCCACACCGAGGGAACCTGGCATCACTGCCCTTGACGGGTCCTGTCCTTGTGATGTGAAATGTGAGCGACTGTGTGCCTGTCTGTGTATGAGTGATAAAAGGAGGGGTGGGAGGAAAAAAAGGAAAGAAAATGAAAAAATGTGTTAAAGCACAGGTGGCCAGCTTGACAGTTAGACCTTCCTGATATGATTAAAGATTATTCTCTGGCTCTCATGGAAGAGGCCTGAGAGCTCAAACAAAAAGCTTCAGCTGTCTCACCAGGATTTTATTTATTTATTTATTTATTTTTTGTAGGACATGCTACCGAATTTAAGGATGTTGTGGCAAAAAAAAAAAAACCTAGCCCACACCTTGACACACTCACCGGCTGACCGTGCTTTATTTTCACAGCACTCCACCTGGCAATTCTCATGCTGACATTGGCTCGACTGCTTCATTCAAACCTCATGTCATGTGTTTTATATTTACAGAAAACAGAGGTTTAACATTTACAGGGAAATTGCATTTGTAAAATGTAATTGCGCTATATCCTGGCAGTGACATATGGCATTAATTCAGCAGCCAGTCAGTCATACACTGATGCTTCTTTACACAAACAGAACATGCTTCGCATTTACTGTAAGCCTTATTAAACGACGGTCCAGAAAGACCATCACAGGTGCAGTGCTACAGTAATACAGCGGGGACATAGGACAGGAGATTTCTGTTACAGCTACATGATCTCTACGTCTGACTCTGTGTTAGTCAGCAGCCCCAGACTGCTGCCGTCCCCAGATACATTATTCATCCGCGCTCTTATTATACTTTGCTGCAGCCATATGTTGACTCAGTTCCCACTGTCTCGCTGTTAGCTAGCACATTCTGCACTGCTCTGACATTAGCACTGCAGGATTTTCCAAACAATCCCTGTTTGGAGTGAGACAAGAGTGCGGCAGCAGGACAGGGACTCGTGAGCTCCTATATCTTTGTGTCATTTTCCAACAGAGTCGAATGGAACGGAGTTCCTGTACCTGCGGCCTTCCTCTCCTTGTGTGAGTCAATGCATGCGCGTGTGTTTGTGTGCATTCAATGGTCCAGATCGTGGGAAAGCATCACTTCCTGTTTGATAAGGAGGTACATATTGGCGAGGCTGTTTTCCACCGTTGAGCCGAGGCCAAGGGAGTGGACACACCAGCCCTGTGAGCAGTCACTCGGAAATGTCATTATTAACACAGTATCATGATTATCAAAACAAGGAACTGGCCCGGGCTGAAATTGTTTGCACAGGTGTAAGCGTGTGCGTTTCCTTTTTCGTGCATCGGTGTGCCCTCCCCTTTTTTGACTTTCTCACAAAAGACGACAGCTATTCTAAAAAATTTCCACTGCTGTTTAATTGTCCTTTTCCAGGGGAATTTGACTACAACTACCTGGAACTAATAAGAAAAACAAACTACTTCCTTTTCCTTGAAAAGGAAGAAAGAAACTGCAAGCTTCTAATTCCACAAATTTGTGCAAGGCTCTGTGAAACACTCATCATCACCCCTGCTTTGAATTAACCTTCTGCATATGTTAAACTGCAATAACAGGTTTAGTTGTGGTGTCTCGCTTCCCTCCCTCCCTGATTTAACTCCACATTACGGCATTCCACGGGGGCCTATATCCCTGCGTGTTAATCACTGCTCTTCCCGGCACACTGAGAAATATATGGCGGGTGCTTGCAGAGGAACAGTGGAGGACAAAAACGTGCTCGCACTTGGACACTACTTGATTACAGACTAATTGGTCTGGAGTGATTAAATATCTCATGCTTCTCAGTAATTGCAGCTATTTAAAGCAGCTATTAGCTTAAAATGCCTGCCACCAACAGCCGTTTACGCATAAACAAAATGTGAGATGCAGCAATTCACCTGTAAGACTTGGAGAGTCGCGGGAGGATTTGTGCTGCTGGGAGACTTTGCGC